GTCGCATCGGCGTCCTGCGAGCGAAAAAGGCCATTTGACGGAAGTCATCGTTGAAGAAGCCCCGTATTTTCTGTGAAAAATACCTTGACCTCTCCCCCCCCAAAAAAAGAAAAGAAGAAAAAACGAAAAAGAGCTGATATTTTGAGCCCTGAACCCATTTGTTGGAGAGGAACCTGAAACAACTGTCTTGGGGGGGCGCTCAATTTCTGTACTTCGGGAGGGGGATCGGGCACAAAGAGAAAACACTGGCGAGCAATCTTGATTACCAAAAATACAACTTGCCATGATAAGTGGGAAGAAACATGGCCACCACCTACGAAGTAATTTCCCTGCCCGGTCAGTAGGACGCCTTTGTCTTCCGAGGGGCCCACGCCACCTCAACTTCTTCCCCAACCGCCAGCGCCACCAACGACGCCAAGGATCACCGGGAGTCTTCGAGGCTCCGGAAGATTTGCCCGTGTCCGTGGATCAGCTCCGGTGGTCCAACAAGATTAGCGAAAATGGTCTTCCGAAAGTACGAAGTTCAGAAAATTCAGGGGCCCTCAATAAAAATCAGTCCACTGACTGGGGTTCTCATGCTGAGCACCTGAGGATTAGTGTTATTTGTTTACGTTGAACCCAACTTTTTGGGGATCCCGCCGCTTGCATACTTGGGTGTTCAAATCACTTGCATATAAGTTGCGACTGGGGGTAAAAGGGGGACTAACCCCAGTTGCCCCAATTTATTTTCATGGCTGTAAGTTACAACTTACATGTTGGTCGAAAATCAAAGTAAGGGGTACATGGCAAGGGGTACACATTGGTTGCCACGAGTCTTCCCAACTTCCCAAGTTCACGAAAATCGCGCAGAAGGAGATCCGCGGAAATCGGGTCTTCCCCAAAAGGACATAGGAAAATATAGCAGCCGTGAGTTCTGCACCCTTCTTGTCCCCGAACTCATAGCAGCCTGCTTTCACTATGGCCTCGCATCGCGTAACTTGACTGCTATGTGGCACCGCACATGGCACAGCATCCAAGGAGAGAGTCATCCTGCAGAATCAACCAAGGGGCGACACACACGAACCAAACTAAATGGCAAGCACAAACACAAGCACGAGCACAAAGCACCACAGGCACGATCGCGAACGCCCACCAAAACCGCGACTACAAAGAACGAAGCACACCAGGTAAGACACGCAAACCCCAGCCAAAGACCAAAACACAAAGGCGGCAAGACACACACGCCACCCTAAAACCAAAACAGAAGGCACACAACCTGAAACGCATCCCAAGAAACGGAGCTGAGCAAAACTCGAAATCGATTCCCGCGCCTTGTGGCCAAGGCTCGTCTTCCTGGGATGCGTCCTCTGGTACGTCTTGGCCTCAGTAGGCATTTCATAGATCGATTTATCTATCCATACGTTTTATTGGTTTATCTCTGCGTCGATTTCTCTATTCATCTATAATTTTAGTACTTTATCGACCTATCTATCTGTGTTATTAGTTTATCTGTGCGTCGATGTCTCTGTTCATCTATGATTTTATTGGTTTATCGATTTATGATCAGCTTGAGAAGACACCCAAACGCGCCACGGTCTTAGTTGTTTCTGTGGTTAAAGCTTGGAGAGTCACCGCAGGTGCTGGATCCAAATGGGTTGCCAAAACTTTGCAAGGCAGTCGGCACAAGGCCGCCGTTCAAAAAGAATGCCCAAAAGCACACCGAAGATTTTACAACCCAAAAAAAAAAACGAATGAAAGTCAGGGCACGTGTGCGATCAACGGCCTCTGCAGGTCAAGGTGCGCTGAAGCAAAGCGGCTTGTTTTTCTGATACTCCTCGCATGGCGAAGCAGCTCGGGATCTTTCTGAAGCCAAGCGCGAAACTGGGAAATTTGATGAAAATGCAGCTGACTCCCTACAAATTGCAAGTGGAGACCGAGGCAATGCTTGCGTCTGCCTTGGTCTTTGGTTGCAATATCTTCTCGGACATCCGCTCCGCAGGCTCACCAGATTCTCTCCCTCTCTCTCTCTCTCTCTTTCTCTCTCTCTCTCTCTCTCTCTCTCTCAGCTCCTCAGTGAAGTGCTGATCGCGGCCTCGGACGAGTCCGGCCAGAACTCCGAAAAATTGCTTGGCGGCGAAACAACTAGGATCCAAAGGAAGTCTGGGTAATGTTGACCCAGGATTAATAAACCCGTCCCATTATTAGGGGGTGTTCCCTCGAAAAGTTATTAATCAACCAGAGGTTTATTTATCCGGGGTTAACATTACTCATCATGGGTGGTGTCCTTTTGGTGTCCCTTTAAACCAGCTCAAACAAGTGTTCTCTCCAAACAAAGCCACACCCATATTGGGACCCGCACGCCCGGCATCGCCAGGGACAAAAGGAAACAGCATATAGTCTACCAAAGTTCTGCCCTTGGTGAGCAAAGCAGCTCGCATGTTGATCCATTTGTCAGAAACGAGTCGGATCCTTTTGGGGAGAACCAAAAGAATCGCCGAGTCGGAGAGGTCCAGTCCAGGTTTTCTAAGTCGGGGAACACTTCTTTTTCAACCAAGCTTCCAAAACTCCAACCAATGTGGGCTACTAACTACCGATTCTTCTTGATGCTCTGAGGAGAGGGTGCCCATGTTTGGGTTGTTTCAACAGGAAACCAGTGGGAAATGCCCACTTTGGGGGCACAATATCCCCGTTTGGAGACAATCCAATAGCGAGTGAACACATCTGGTAAAGTACAATAATCCAAGTGGAAATATGGGAACACCCAGTACAGTAATGGACATTCCGGAAATGAGCTCGTTTTGCCCTGAATCACGTAAGTTGGTGATTTGCGTGGTCATGTATCCCTTCAGTTAACACTCGTTGCGTGATATGCCATAAGTCCCTACCCAAAAAGCCCAAGGGTGCAAAATTCGGGCCCCTCAAGCTGGTTTTCCTTTCGGCTTCCTTGTACCACAAGTCCCTAGCAGGGCGGTCCGACGGAATGAGCTTCCGTGCGCGAGAACTCGTTCAAAAGCCCCCGCTGCTTCTCCGTGCCTAAAGCGGAGGGCTGAGCCATGTGAAATTCCCATGGAAGAACCCCAGAAGGCACCTGAGGGAATATGTTGGGGGGGGGGGAAAGGGGGGGAGCAAAACGGGGTAGGAGGTACTCTTGGAGGTGTACCGGCAAAAACTCAGTCTAAGGCGTTCTGGGTGCAAGCCCCAAATTTATCCACGAGAACGCGGGGCAAAAATATCCAAACCACCCAAATGGCTTCGAAATGGGCCTCACGATTCACCGATGCCGCGTGCTGCCTACTAAATTACCAGGACATCCCCCTAAGTTTCGCCCCATTGTGGCAACGCGTTCCCCAGTCCAAGCGTGTGAGCCTCAGAAAATACCGCTGACAGGCCTGAAGAACATTACCCCATATATGTTCCCGTCATGAAAGGTGACCCTCGAAACAACGAGCCGCAGCCGGTTTTTGCTCGTAACGGGGTGGCCCAGAGGGCACCTTGTGCGCCAAGATGTAGAACCGACGCGGGGGGTCTCTGAGAAACAAAACCCATTGCGGTAGCAGTCCCTACGGCCCTGGATCTGTTTCTGCAAACGAGTCACTCTCTTTTGTGACTTGGACATGTTGGATTTGTCTGATATCTACATGGTTTGTAAAAAACTGAGTGCAACTGCATTCTAATTCGCACACAAGACATGGCAAGCAAAAGTTGACATCTATTGCGTCACATGATTCTGCATCTTATGTAACTTGAAGACGCATTTGCTAAGGACTGACGTCCCCTTGTGAAACTAGCGTTGCTCTCACTTCCGGAAAAGATATTCTTGTAGGCGATCTTTCCATCCGCTGTAGTCATACGCCTTGTTGTAGATCGGCTTGCTGTAGGAGTGCCATTCCCTCATTCGCTGATTGTTGTTCTTCGTGTGCAGGGGATGCTCACTCCGGTCCCGCGCACGCATGAGCATCTCGTTCGTGATGCGCTTGAAGCGCTCGGCGGAAGAAACCTGATGGTCACTGATGGTCCTGCTCGTGTCATCTTCGAACGCCCTCTTGCGTTCCTCGTCAAAAGTGTCCTCTTTCTTTGTTATTCTTGCTGGTCGTTGGTTGTTCCAGCTGAAAGCAGAAGTCGGTATGCAATCAGGAAAGGTCCTGTCGTAACTTGATCCTTTCTTGGTGTGGAGGACATTGCGGATGATGTCTCGGACGCTTGCTGATGAGTCATAGGAGAGTCCAATCTGTCCGTCTTTTCCATCAAGCTGCTGTTCCGGTTGCTTTGCATCTAACACATGGCTTCTGTGACAAGTTCATGGTCTGGACGATAGCTGTGGATGTTGGCGCATTTGTTGGCATATCCAGTGAGCGGTCGCACTGGCACAAGACATGGTAGGACAAATTGCCCCCATTCTTCTTCCACTGCTCCCGTTCGTTCAGCATGGCTGGGATGGATAGGAAACATCCGATGCTTGCGCATGGCCGTCCTGCTCGGTGGACGTGTCGCTCGTCAAACTCATCCATTGTTTTTTTTTGCTTTGGGGTCTCGCCCTGGAAGTCATTCTTCTCATCGATGGTTCTGGCCATAATCTCATTGTTTGGTCTATATCTTGTGGCAGTAATTCTTGGAGGTGTGGTTCCCCAGCTTTGCCTCTTCATGGACGCATGTCGAGCGAGAAGTTCTACATGGGCTGACGTGTTGCCTCGGACGAAACGCGCAATCGGTCTTGACCCCTATGACTTCAAAATTATGTTTGAAGCCTGCGTTGATGAACGCTCTGACAAGATCAAGAGTCTTCTGATCACTCGAGGGTTCTGATCTCACGAACGTGTCGTTGACGCATACAATGCGGGCGCTGTTGTGAGTGAGCAATCTAACCGTGGGTCTCTCATTAACAGGGATGTCTTTGATGACTTACTGATTCCTTTTTGAAGCTGCCGAGATTCGCGGTCAACATGTTGAGCATCGATGATAATTGAAACTGTGTGTTCGCGGTATGCTCTATGACTTCCCTCGCTGTCGACTGGAGGAGTGAGCCCTGGATCTTGGTATCCGGCCTGATCTTCTGGCTGTTGGACGAATTTGCGATTTGCTTGATTCAAGTGGGAGCCTGAGCGCGTAAGCTGAATTCGGCTGTTGCTTCGGAACGGAATCTCGGGCCTTCCCTCATAGTAGAAGTCTTCCTTCCAGTAGTTCTTCTGAGAATTGACGCCGGATTGCCACTAGCTCGTCAGCCACTGCTTCGTTGATCTTGGCAATGCCCGTCAACGCCGGACGCCATGGCGATGCGGATAGGCAGCGGGGTGTGGTACACGTGACTAGCGATACCGCTGATAACCTGATAACCTATTGATAGGACAGAACTACCTGAAATACAGCAAGGTCAGCAAGTACTTCTTCTTGAGGGGATATCTGAGTGCTTACTATGGCACATCACCTATGCCTATCTCTCAACAACAGCATCTCGACAAACTCCTAGAACGGGCAGACAAATGGCTGGGTGAACGGAAACCATGCACGTTTTCTGGCGGTTTAATTTTGACACAGCGGGACTCCTTTTGGCTGCCGAATATTAATTGCCCAAGGACGCACCGAATGGCCCTAAATGATCCTCAGAGAATCAAACGAGAATTGGCTCGGAGTGAGCGTGTAAGATCATTCCTTGGCTGACTGCTCCTTTAGTCAAATCGATCAACGGCATCAGCCAACAAGAAGGACATGCGCTCTCTTTTCCATTTGTCTTTTTTGATCTGGCAGGATCCACGATCGTGCCTGCGAAAGAAGGGTGCACCATGGGCCATGTTTTTACGAGCCAAAAGAAAGTGCTTTGATCTCTCCCTCACCGGTGGATACGTTCTAGGTATTCACCGCTGCATCCATGGGCGCGTGCCCTTTTTGCCACGGGTGAGGGGGTGTTACTTCGCCTGAGCAAAGGGCTCCAGACTAGGTGCTTGGCAATCGGCCGTACGCCGGCGCTTCGGCGGCGAAATGAATTGTCCAAAGGAGGCAAAAGCTTCCTGGGGTTGAAGAAAACCCCGAGGTCCCTTGTGCCAAAAAACAACAAGGGAGTGCAGGTGGTAGAAAAAACGATGTTGGACTGTTCGACATGGCTTTCCACAAATGCGGGACAGGCGGGACGACCGGAAGGCGTTTCAAGAACCCCGAGCTCGGCGGCCCTACGCAAAGTCCTGACTTCGGAAGCTGTGCATCCGACGGCCACCGCTGTGCATCGCTCTCAGGCAGCAAACTTGGCAAGTCGAGCGATCCTGGATCATCGAATGGGTGGTTGTAAGCCCATACATAGGATCATACGTTAGGTGACAGGGTGACTCTAAATGGGTTCTAACAAATGTCCGATGCTACATGTTGTCTTTCGCAGCAAGCGATCGGAACCCGCAAATGCTGAAAACCCGCTTCCCCCCTTTTCCCGGAACAGTGTGCTCTCAAAACTCGACAGGTCTCCAAACATGTGTCAAATGTGCCAGAAGGGGGGCGGGCGGGGGTGATGTTGATGCTTGTGAAGCAGCCCATGAGGCATCCAGAGCTTCCCCGCCTTTCACGAGCGCCCAAATTCTGAAATTCTGATGGACCAAGACATGAGTCACCGAATCCCACCCCAACTGGTGAAACATGTGGTCCACTACCCATACAGCATTCCCCCTACTCACACAAGCAACATGCCCCTGAAATTGGGCATGGTACCCCCCTCCCCCCACACACACATTCCTAGGGAAGCCATTCTTCAAAATGGTGTGCATGTGGTTTCCTTTCAAACCGGCTAAATTGAAACAGTTCCCAAACAGATCTACTTTGGGATCCCAACAAACCTGCCCTGGGTGCAACAAACCTCAACTGACCCTGCCTTACCGCCATCAAAGCCACCTCCCAAGTTGCTTTCAGGGAATTGACAAACTCCAGCTCCGACTTTGAAACAGTTTCAAGCAAAAAAACATGAGGCAAGACCTCCCCCCCCCTTCAGGGAAACCGAAATCAGGGTTGTTCAAAAGCCCGCCTGCCAACAAACAAGCGAATGCTACAATGAATTCCGCCTGAACCAGGCAATCTAGCACCAAACCGGGCTCCCCGTGCCGGCTCGCCCGTTCCGTTGTGCTCTCCGTCGGTTTCGGGTTCTTCGGGCGCCGTTCTTCGGCGAGTCGGCGACTCGGTCCTCCCGGCCGTCTTGCTGTAGCCCACCCATTGCTCCATGGAGACCTGCAGCCCTGCATCCACCTCGGTCAGGTTTTCAGGCCCCAGGATGGCTGGTCCTTTGGGCTTGCAAAAGCCAAGAAACGAGGGGGGCTTGGAGGAATCCTGGAAAAAAATCAAAACTTTGCTTCTGGTTGAAAGTGGCCGAACAATGCTTGAGCTTGGAACAGGAGAGTGGCCGACAAGTGTCGGGGTTCCTCTCGGGTGGCCCCGCGGGACCGGCCTTAAGTCTTTATGAGATCAACGGGATTGGAGTTTGATTCGGACCATGGGCGGGGGTGGTGGGGGGGGGGAGGGGGGGAATCCTTAGAATGGTCCCCTCAAGTGGCCACGGGTTTCCTTCGGGTTGAATGCCAACCAAAAGGGGGGGGCAACAAGGGACCCAAGAGACACGAACACGAGACCCTGCCAAAACCCCAAGAGAAATCCACTTGACAAACACTGCGATGCTTCACGGGACCCGGTGTTCCATGTCTCACTACCCATGCTTACTAATGATATGCTAATTGAGAGGGTCCAAGTACCTGTTTTTCCTTGCGGCTAACACGCGAGAGGCAAACAAACCGGTGGGTAACACCCTGTGGTCTGTCGAAAATGTCCGAAAAAAGGAACACACACACACACACACATCGTCAGGTGGTATTCAAAAGGGAAAACAAAGCTTCTGCGAAAACCGGGGGACAAAGGCATGTAAGTCTTTGGGAGTCACCCGACGGCAACCAACTGGTAATTTTTACCCAAACAGCGACGATGGACACTGGGAATTGCCTGGGTGGTGAAGAACGAGTGTTCGAACACCCTTCGGAGCCAATCCTCTTCCCGAAACTTTGTCCTATCATGTATCCCCCATGTCCGTCCCCCCCGGATGTCCCCCCCCCAAAGAAAATTTGTAGGGTGGCACCAGAAATTACTATCGACCGAAGGCTACAAACCTTGGAGACCCGCCATCACCTCCTCTGGGGCAAGAATTCTCTCAGCGCCAGGCCATCACCGCGTCGATGATCTGCTCGCTCTTCTCTACAAGGCCTTCGCCTCCTGGTTTGGACGAAGTCGAACAGCGAAAACACACCAGATCACGTCATGGAGAGAACTGAGAACTGAGCTACTCGTTCCCGGCGTGCCACACATGTTTTTGTTTTGCTTTTTTAAGTCAAGTGAAAAGCTGACAATTGCCTCCTAACCCTTCTTTCGACGCCCGGACAGCTATTCAAAACTGCTTCTCAATGCTACTTCGGGCCGTGTGCTTAGAAACTACAGGAAAACGCTCATTTTTTGGGCTGCCAGCTCCGCAACAGGGAAGTGGACGCTTGAAGCCAGCCTTTGGCAAACTTTGTCTATCAACGACCCTGGTGGTGTCCCTTTAAACCAAGGCGCGAAAAGTCGCTCGGAAAAAACACACCCAACTCAAAAGGCGTGGGTCCATGGTTCTCGATTCACCTTGTCGGGTTCCCGAGTCCGGTCCTACGCTTTGCACGATCTGGAAGAGGCCGGTGCGGCAGTCCTGCATCGCGAAATCGATCGGAAAAGCGACCCCTCTTACTTGGATGTTCAACCGACTTAGTGGTTATGACCTTGAGCAACTAGGTGTTGTCCACTTGTAGCCATGGTGTAAAAGTATTGACTAAGTGGTTTGAGCACCCCGGTAGGGACGGTATGAAAGAGAAGCCAAACGAAGTCGTTTTTTTTAAGGGTGCTCTTTTCAGGGTGGTTTAGGTAGTGAGTATAGACTGCTGTTGTTTGAGGTTGTTTTGGGTTGTAGCCTTACGGCTGCCTTTGTTGAGGTAGGTTTAAACGGCAAACAAAAGGCAAACAACCAGTTTTTGCGGGCTTGTACTGTGACAACCAGTGTTGGTCATGTGACACAAACCCCAAACAAAACCCTCGTTTTCACAGCCCATCCCCGAGACTCTGCCAAGTATCTAAAGGCCAAACACTGTGAGCTGTTCTGCTTTGCCTTTCCCCGCCTCCAATTCTGGCAAAATGCAACTCGCTCCGAAAAACTTGTTCTCTTGTTGCTCTCTCCGGGGAGGTAAGCTTGCGGAGCAAGTCAGGGAATCCCATCTGCTGGAAAATTGGGCACATGAGGCGTGGCACGGGAAGACTTGTCTCGCATGAGGCATCGGGTTTTCCGGTTTTGCTGCATGAATGGCGTTCGGCCAACCAACGAAACGCCACCAAGTGCCAACGTGCAATGCAAAGCTCTGTTGTTCAGTGACCCTGAAAAAAAACGGGAACCCTTCTTGGGGAAGACCATTTTTAGTGGGGCAGCCACCAAAAAAAAGGAAAAATAATCGGTGCCACTGAACAACTGAGAAAGGGCAGCAAGGATGAGAACTGAGTGACTCGTAAAGCCACGAAGTGATACTAACGGTGCTGCACCTCGGGTTTGCCCTTCCAAGCATCGCAGCTGGACCTAGATCCATTTCTTGACCCAGAAACCTGTCACGTGCCATGGCCCTTGTGTATGTTTGAGGGTATCCTTCCCCCCCCCCTCCTAAAACCGATCCAAAGTAACATCTCTCAAAAGCAGCCTCTAAACGGCGACAACGGAAACCACCGCCAAGAGTACTTCTGAGAACCCCAGATGTTCACTTAGGACCCAACAGCTGCAAAACATCCACCAGAATGAGCTGAGAACCCCCAAATCTTCACTTGAAAGACGTCAACGGGAAGCCTGCGCTGAGAAAACTCAGTTGCTTTCTGCTCCCTTGCTTTGGTGGGAAAGAGGAAAAGAAGTTGGCAAGAAGTTATATAAAGTCCTAACCTCCCTTGGCAACATGCAACAAAGAACGGCATCCACCCCGAGCGCCCGAGCTCGCTCGCGCGCCACCCCGCCTCCGCGGTGATCTGGTCACCACTGGCAGACAGCCGCATGAAGGCCTCGGTCCAGCTTTCGCTGGGCGTCCCAAAGGGAAACGCCGAAAAAGGGATTGCCAGGCACCAAAAAAAGACACACACACACACAAAAAAAAAAGAAAACAAGAAGGAAGCAAGACAAAAAAAAAAGGTGAAGCAACCAAAAAGAACCCAAACAAGGAAAAGGCGGGGCAACCCCGAAAAGGGCCGAGCCACCCATATTAGGCGGTGATTCGTTCTTGTTTTTTCCCGGGGATCCGGAGGGTGCCAGCCGTCCTCCAGATTTGCGAGGCTTCAATAAGTTGGTACCGTTTCTGTAGTCTCTGTAGCCTGCCATATCTTTCGATGATTGAATAGATACCTGAATCCAAACTGCCGAATCCCAACCTCTTACGACCATTCAGGTTTCATCCGGAGGGAAACCGAATGCTGGACCCCTTTGGGACCTCAACTCGCCTCTCCGACCATTGCCCCCAGACAAACCTCTCAAAGCCCCTGGTGGACTCTCGGACAAACCTCTCAAAGGTTCTGGTGGACCTCCTGTTCAGGGGGTCCACACCCATAAACTCTGAGCCCCAAAGCCCCAAACAGAGCCAACTCTGCCCAGCGATCTGCGCCTCTAGCGCCTGCGACTCGTTCACCGGGTTCATGCGGAGCAGCATCACGAAGGCGCTTTGGTCGATGGCAAAGGCCTGGAGCCGAAGAAAAGGAAGAGAGGCGGTGAGGGCGTGGAGAGTCACGGGAAAATCTGGGGAGAGATGGAGCCGTGTTTTGGGGAGCCTATTTTTAAGCTGGTCATAGAAAGCCAACAGGAAAACCAGCCAGCCATTCGGTGCCCCAAGGGCCACCTGGTGCCAATCGAGACCTCTGCGATACTTTTTGGGACCAAATTTTGGGACGCAGCGATCTGTCTTTCGGGGGGTGGCCCAGAAAGTTGGGCTTATGTCGGCAACCCTGGACGAAAAGCGGGGTGGCTCTTTTCTGCCCTTGCCAACGTGGCTCTTAAACCCATACCAACTCAGACGGAGATGGTTTTGTTGGGGGAAGTTGAGCCATTCTCTGGCTTTCCAAACAAACCTTTCCATGTCCGATCCTTTCGCGCCCAAAGTCGTTTTGGTTGGAGACCCGAGTATCAGGTTCTTATGCGGTCTTACGGCCTCAAGTCAGCGGGTCTCCTTGATTGGCAACGGGTTTGGTTCATCTCAGGAGTGAAAATGTGAACAACATGTATGTTGTGCTCCCGCTTGGTTCCCCTTTATACCTACCTACAAAGGGTGCCAAGCCGAAAAGCACACACACCCAGAGGCTTGTTTTTCTTTTTCTTTTTTCTGAGGGGTGAGGGATGCCCCCTCCTCGTTTGCAGAGGCGATCTTCAGCAACTCCACGTCTAGGTCGATGCCGCCTTGGCTCGACGCTTGCGGCTCGAGGTTTGCTCCAGGATGGCAGCGGGCTTCGCTTAAGTTTTCTTCTGAGCATCACCCCGCCAGAAGGAAACTCCAAAATGGGAGCTGAAAGGCGAAAGACTAAACAACCCTTAAAGGAAAAGGAGACTCGTGCCCAAACAGGGGGCCTGCCTCAGGTTCCATGGGGAAAACACCAACGAGATCGGCCTGTTGTGTCGAAAAAAGCGGCCCAAGGAACACGTGGATGCAAAAAGCGAGTCAGATGCCTTGTCGAGTTCAAACGTAAAGCGACATGAAGCACAACTTGTCACCTCCTTTTAAAGGAAACCGAAAGAAAAACTCACCCTTTCGGGGGCCCCCGACTGTTTGCGGGGGCAGGTTCCTGGATGGCTCCGTGGTGCCGGGGAAGGGGAGTCTCCATGACCCTTTAAAATTGGGGTCATGACCCGTTTATTTTGGGTCATGACCCCATTTTTCAAGGGTCATGGAGCTCCGATCGAATTCTGTCAGGAAGGCTCTTTTTCCGTTTCCCGGTGGATCCCAGTTTTCCCTTTGCTTAGGCTGGCTCCCGGGTTCCGAGCGGAAACGCCTCTCCAGGGCCAATTTTTAGCGAGCGAATTTCTTTCTCGCCTTCTCCCTGAAAACCGCGCTTTCCCCCACGCAGCTCTACAAAAGAATGGGAAATCAAGCTCTTGGACCTTGCAACGGGTCCTTTTGACCTCTTTTTCGGAACCGGATTGGCATACCAAGAGAAACCGTTGCCACTTTAGTCCATACATGACTCGAATCAGCTAGTCGGCAAGCGACTACCCTGGCACCATTCTTTGCGGTAGTAACGTCGCAGGCAAAACGGTGGAGAGGAATGTGTCAGTGTCAGACACCAACTGAAACAGTTTGACACATTCGGCCATAGAGATACACTACTCACAAACAGACTATTTGCATGCTGGAAAAGCATTGAGCAAATCCAGGTCGCACGAAGGTATGAATGGAGTGGACCAAAGTTGCCAACCCAAAACACAAACATCACTCTACAATGAACAAGCACCTTCTGGACCAGCCATAAGCATCAAGTTTTCTGGCATGTCTTTGCTCGCCCCACTTCTCCAATGCAGCGGGGCCCGAGCAAAGTGAGCTCGTCGCCAGCAAGCGCAGTGCGCGTGAGAGACTCGAAAGAAAAACATGTGTCCCGGCTTGGTGGCACAAGTGAGACGAACGTGAGGAAAGAATCAATCAACTCGACTTCGTCATGTGACTGTTCCTGCGCGCACCTCCAAGCCAGGACAGCTAAGACTCGGCTGGCCTACAACCTGCCGCACTGCAGTGGAACTGGGTGCGGAGCTTGGAGCATCATGAAAACACAAATCTAGCGCAGCCCGTGTTGCGCAACTTCATTTGGTCACTGTGACGGCCAACTGCAAAACATTATCCGGCATGAGCTTTGAGAGGACCATAAAGTGCCGCAAACATCGCCCTGCAATGAACAAACACCTTCTGGACCAAAAGGAAGCATCAAGCTTTCTTTGCTCGCTGCTTCATTGCCGACCCCACTTCCCCACCGCAAACTCGGCTCGTTGAAAGCAAGCGCAGTGCGCGTGAGAGACTCGAGAAAAAAAATCGTCCCAGCTTGGTGACAAGTGAGACGAACGTGAGCCGCTCGTCCGTGTGCGCTCTACCACCGACTCAAGCAGGTCATAGAAAGCACAAATCTAATGCAGCCCATGTTGCGCCACATCATTTTGTCACTGTGGCGGCGAGATGCAAAACATTATCCGACATGCGCGCTGAAAGGACCATAAAGTGACGCACCAAAGTTGCCAACCCAAAAAAAAAACATCACTCTACAATGAACAAGCACCTTCTGGACCAGCCATAAGCATCAAGCTTTCTGGCATGTCTTTGCTCGCCCCACTTCTCCAATGCAGCGGGGCCCGAGCAAAGTGAGCTCGTCGCCAGCAAGCGCAGTGCGCGTGAGAGACTCGAAAGAAAAACATGTGTCCCGGCTTGGTATAGACGGTCGATGTGCAAGGTGCGCCTGGGCCCCTCATTTTATTTTAAAATCAAAATAAATTGGGGGGGGGGGGCCAGGCTTGGTTTCATTATAAAATGGGGGGGCCCTGCGCTAGCCTTACCCCATTTAATTGTCGTACGAGCTCCCGGTGCAACCTCAATGAAATGAGGGGGGCCCAGCCTCATTATAAAATGGGGGGGGCCGGGCTCGCCAATATTTTGAGGGGTGCCCAGCAGTTCTACCTCCAAGGCACCAAGCAGTTTGCGGGGAAGACGAACTCCTTAGCTTCCTTCACTTTAGGCATAGACTTCCAAAGTCCGTTACTTAAATGGCCGAGATAGCAAAGTACACTTCTTGGGAAAAGGCTATTTCTTGATGGCTTGGGAAGGGTTGTCATGCTTCATCATTTTCAATCCAAATGTCGGCCACAATTGGCTGAGCAAAGCACTTTTATGATCATTTATGTATATTTATGTAGCATGCTTCGTATACCATTGCAACAACTGTATCAGTAGGGCAGCTCCCGCTTGATGCACGTATACTAACCTCGTGCCTTTATAATCTGTCACTTTACCTTTTGCACTAGCGGCCGACTGCGGACCAAAAACAAGTGCGAAACAACGGCTGCAAAGCACATCCACAACAATCGATGCAACCAAAGGTGCACCCAACAAATGTCCGTCACATGGCAATTCATGTCCGCTTTACGGGTTGTCTACGGCTTGTCAACGGCCCACCGGAGTTCCCAAAAAAGTGTCGCTCAACCTTTTGATCAGCATGGCTTGCTCCTGTCGATAGCACATGCACACCCATGAGGATCTGGGCCCACTCTATCTTTGAGTTGCCCCTGGCTTCCTTGATTGTGTGGTTTGCATAGGGTTTGTTCATGGCTTCTGCCACAATTAGTGTATAACAGATTTTGTAAATCTTCCAAAGCCCTTTTGAAAACGCGCACCCTGAGGGCCCCTCCTGAAGTCCCAGAAAAACGGCCAAGCCAGAACCAACAAAAATAGGCGTTGCCTCTGGCACTTTTATTTAATGGTCGAGGAAAATCAGGGCAATTATTCTTGCCAGGCACAGCAAATGATAACATAGAATCGCGGCAGCTGCATTTTTTTCTTCGCTAGCCCGCCAACATCCGGACCAGCAGCATTGACCTCAAATGCACGCCCGCCAGAATCAAGGCCTGGGGGGGGTGGAGGGCATTTGGAGTAGCCAGTTTCAGAACTTGAAGTCTGGAAGGCCTCATGATTCGGAGCAGTGGAGTTGGCAGGGCTTTCGGCTGGCACCTTCCCAAAGGCCGAATTGCACACAGACCCAACGCTTTGCCATCAATCGATACCGACTGCTATCACTACTAGCAGATTCTCGCACTCGGGCTGAGAGCACTGCTCAGGACGCACAAATTGTCGCAAAGGCACCTGCGAAGCCACTTGCCAGCAGCTCTCAACAAGGTCTCAAACAGAGTCTCAACGGCCAGCAACTCAAGGCGAATATCTGGGGGGGGGGGGGGGGCCGGTGGGTGCAGAAGTGTCGGGAACCCTGCGGTGGCGAAAGAAGGACAAACGAGTGGTTTTCCTCTGGCTCCGACAAACAAACTCCCATCGACACGGCGGCAAGCCCAGTAAAGCAGCTGGAAACTGTTCTCGGGCACATCCAGTTGACGGGTGTTGTCGACGGACGACCGGCCATCAACAAAGCGGCAAGTTTAGCCAGTTCGGGGCCGACTCATTACTGATTTCGCACATGTCCTGACTTAGCCCCATAAATAGCTTTCGTCGATGGATGACCGGCCATCGACCGATGGAAGGAACCTTCAGTCACGAGGTCGCAAACCAAAACCATGGTGAGGTCAACATATAAGTTGCCAAAGCTTACGTATTATATCTATGTGTATGTGTATAGCTATGTAGACATACACATACACATGCGCACACACACACACATACACGTGATGCACATATACAGTAAACGCTTGTCCAACCCCGGGCTTGACGCCTCAGTCTGTTAGTTATGCAGCCGCTCACTATGGGTCCCTAGATGCCCCTAGCTTTCATCGGGTAACTACGGGGTCCTTTGACTGGGGTCATTACTTTGACTGTTTCTAAGGGTTATCAAAGTCAGAACCTGGGGTGGCCTTCCCTCAGCCCACCACTTAGGGGGTGGCTAGTTTGATAGGTCCTTCAATGATGAATGCACACAGCACGATATCCTCACGAGAGGAATCTCCACGAAACAATGACTGGCCATCAACAAGCAGCAAGTCCAACCAGTTCGGGGCCGACGCATTGTCCATGTCGTACGTGCCATGACTTATCCCCATTATAAACAGCTTTCGTGCAAAATAGGCCCCTTCGTGGGCCCCTCCCCCGGCTCTCTTGTCTCAACCTCGGGAGCACCGAAGTCCGCTCGTACAGGCGCAGCTTGGCAAGTATGCCAGTGGTTCACCCCAACAGTTTTTTGCGTAGGGTTTCCAATCAGAGTAGGATACCATCATGTGTGGAGGGTACGTAGCATTGCCAAGTCTTGCCAAGTGGGAACTAACTTGGTGAATGGTAAATAGACGTAGGTGGCACACGTAAGTCTCTTTTTCGCTTGTCAAAGCAATTCAAAAGCCGGGCACCGCACGGCGCGTTTTCGTCATATTTCGACTCCAAGGGACTCCTCGAAGGGAACCCGTGCTAACTAATGGTAGAATCACGCAAAAATCAGGCAGAACCTCAAGTCTCTGCAAACAAGTTATCCCCTAAGCACCAAACGTAGGCTTGGCCAAACCTAACCGAAGTCTAACTATAGGGAACCAGCCCCGGAAGAACTGAGGTTGAGTTGTGAGCCACCCCTAAGCTAGGGTGTCTTATGTAAGGGGGGGGGGACCCTGGCAGTTACATGTCTTAAGGGGTCCAGGGAGGGGTTTGGCCATACCATGCCGGAAAAGCAATGGAAACTCCACTGCTTGTGTCCGCTTGTTTCGCAAGCAATCCTGTATATATATATATGTATGCATATGTATATATATATATACGCATATGCGCAAGCGTCTGAGCTAATATACACACACTATATATATATATATATACATGGCTTAGGCGCAGACTGGCGCCCACCAAAAACAACCCCAAAAATGTAACTAGGTACATTTGGGACCCCCCCCCCTGATTACATGGCTATCAGGACTCCCTCGCCCCTAGGGGGCCCCTTCCCACGGTCTTAGAAGGGGTCTTAGCCGGGGTCTCAATAAGGTCTCAGCCAGTTCTCAATCAGCCTGGACAGGTTTCCCTCCCTGTAGGCAGAGGCAGGGAGGTAGGTGTAGGTTATGTTAGGAAGTGCGCTCTTCAACCAAAAGCAAGATGCGCCCCGCTTGGTCAGCGCACGTTTGACTCGCAGAACGAAGTTCAGGGCGCGCCTCAAGCAGCGGCGCCGAGGATGGCAGGCCTTCAGCCCCCAGAGCCAGACTTTCTGTG